CCACATCCCGTGACTACATATATATATATATATATATATACACACACACACACACACACACACACGTATATATTTTATAGTTAACAATATTACTCAACATCAGCTTCAGGTGTACAGTGCAATGGTCAAACCTCTACACCGTCCATGAAGTGGTCTCCCTAACAAGACATGTGTCCATTTGACTCCTTACAAAATATTTACATTATTAATTATATTCCCCCAACTGTCTTTCATATCCCTGTGTGGCAATATTGTAGTTACCAATTTATGCTGTCTAATCCCTTCCCCTTCTCCCTCATCCGCCCCACCCCATCTAGCAACCATAGATTTTCCTCTATATCTCTGAGACTATTTCTGTTTACTATGCTCATTTATTCAGTTCTTTAGATTCCACATATGAGATATATGGTACTTGTCTTTCTCTGACTGACTTATTTCACTTAACATGTTCTCTAGGTCCATCCATATCATTGCAAATGGTAAGATCATTCTTCTTTATGGCCAATACTCCATTGTGTAAATATACCAGTTTCTTAATCCAGTCTCCTACCGATGGGCATTTCGGTTGTTTCCAAGTCTTGGCTACTGTAAATAGTGCTGCAATGAACATAGGGGTGCATATATTTTTTCGAATTAGTGTCTTTGGTTTCTCTGGAAAGATACCTAAGAGTGGAATTGCTGGGTCATGCAGTAGTTCCACTTCCAGTGTTCTGAGATACCTCCATACTGATTTCCATAATGGCTGCACCAATCTGCAGTCCCACCAACAGGGTGTTCATCTATTTTTTATCATCTGATTGATTCTACCGTTTCCGCCCCTTTTGGGAAAAGCCTAGCTTTCTGATCTTATCATTCCCTGGGGCATCATCACCATTGTCCTCACATGTTAGACCATTTTCTTGCCATATTCTGGAGAGGGGAAGTTTCTTCTCAGTAGTGTATGTAGGTCTCTGGAGGTGGTACCTAGTTTGACTTCCATTGTTTGAATTCCTTTGGTGGCTCCTTAGGTGCCGTGATGACTGCCTCTCCCTGTCTGTTGAGCCGATCAGGATCATAGTAGAGAGAGGCTGGTCAAGTTAGGCTCTGGAACAGTTCTTTGGGCTCCTCCACCTTGTTCCTACAAAGCCTGTGGGATCCAGGGCCCACGACTGGTCTCTGGCTGGCTGTTACCTTGCCTGAGAAGCCTGAGCTGCTGCTTCCCCAAGCTGCTAAATAGCTCAGGAGGTCCTTCCCCTCTGCTGCCACAAGTGACATCCCAAAACTGAGAGAATACTTAACACTTCAGATGCTATTTCCACCATCTTTTAACAATCAAATGTCTAACTGCTTGCCACATCTTAGCCTAAGAGTCATTTGTATGTGGCTAATTTGTTACCTAGGGAACAGCCTGGACTCCCCCACCCCCCTTGCTGGGAATTTTAAATGCCCAACCGAAGTGCCAGAGGCTGGAACGTGGCTGTCAGGAATATGAGGCCCAAAAGGACTTTGAGGCTGTCTGGGCTCAACAGGACAGATGCCATAACTGATGGTGATATCTGCCATGGGCTAGGATGGGGAAAGTGGTAGCCCAAATGCCACATATAAGCCATTTCTGAGAACAGTGAAATATGCGATCTGTCATTAGTTATTCAAATTGAGGAGAACTTCTATTTGGATGTAATAGGAAAGTAAGCATTAGGAAGGGTTGCAGACATTAAAAATAATAGAGCTCAGCAATTCTTATATAAAGATATCTGAAAAATAAAAAGTTAATTACTTCTTAAATCATCGCCTTTTAGGATTAATGAAAAATAGCATTGGATTAAAAAGCTAGTAGTTCTTATTCACTCAAGCAGTGATTTAGAAATAAAAAATACCAGTTAAAAGAAAAGAGTGAAATCTTAATTTCTCTGAAGCTGATTACCTGATCTTCTTGTTTATAGGTCTCCTGACAGGCTACTCCACTCCAAGAATGGAAAGGAAAAGGGTCAGTGTCAATACATTTATTCAATAAATGTGTACTGAGCCAAGGAGTCCAGGGGTTATCCACAGACGAATGTCTGTCAATTGTGACTTCACTTTGAAAGAGCTTCAAGACCAGTGAGCATGATGTGAAGTCCCAAAAGGAAGACAAAAGTATTCTGAATTAGGACTCAGTCAACTTCTTCACACAGGAGGCTTTGTCAAAGGTTTGTTATGAATTTTTATTTTTAGGGCAATTAAAAATTTAGGTATAATCAACAAACCAACAAAATGCATAGGTCTGAGCTATTCTATTTGATCCATTTTGATAACTGTATACACCCATGTACCATTACCCCAAACAAGAAGATAGTATTTCCATCACTTCTGAAAATTCCCTCATGTTTCTTTCTGGTCAAGTCTCTTCCTCTTACCTTCAAACAACTACTTCCTGATTTTGCACAAATTAGTTTTTGTCTGTTCTAGGACTTCATATAAACGGAATCATGTCTTCTTTTTCTTTTGTCTCCGGCTTTTTGCTTAACCTGTTTTTTTGAAATTCACCATATATTACATGCATCAGTAGTTTATTCTTTTTTATACATGTTAGTTATGAATTGGGTCTTGAATGACAATTTTAACAGAGAAAGGGCAACAGGCCAAGGGACTGGTTTGGGGAAAAGGCTTGAGACTCTCTAGGAATGGCAAATAGCCTGCTTTGGGTGTAGCATGAAGTTCATCATGGGGATCAGTGGGCTATAAAGTTGGATGGTTAAGATGGAGGCCAACAGTGGAGAATACCACCCTATGTAGTAGACAACTGAACACCTCTAAAGACTTCAATAGGGATGTGATTTGTACTTTAGGAAATTAATCTGTGGGCAATATAATACTGAAGAGGGACCACAAAGGGTCCGAACCAGGCTGCTGGTAGTGAGAATGGACAGGGAGGGACAGGAGGAATACTGAGGAAGCAGGATGAATAAACATTGTACGGGATGAAAGAGGTTTCACAGCTGCTTGCTCATACCTCACTTACAGACATGAGTATAGTGGTGACATTTACAGAAATAAAGAAGAAGGAAAAACAGGTCTGAAAGTGAAGACAAGGAATTCAGTTGTGGACATGATCAGTGTGAGGTGCTAGTGAGTCACGCAGGTGGAGTCAATCTATATTATGTGGGCATTTGTAAATGTTGGGATGGAGCCTAATAAGCTCAGTAACAAAAAGGGATTAAAAAAATTCCATAAGCCCACAAAGCCTTAACATCAATTTCTTTAATTTTAAACTGTGCTTATCTGTACCCACCTTACAAATGTAATCTTGAAGTACATCCAAGTTAATTCTTGTTCTTCACTTGCCATTGAAAATATTTCCCCACATTGTTTTACAATCCCATAGTTTTGATATCTGTGTATCATATATAATAGAGGATTAAAATTCTTAATATAATATACTTACTTTTAACTGATTTGATATCCTCCTAAGATTTTGATTAGAGGGTTAGTGCCCCTTAAAAAGTTTGAAAACCACTGTTCTAGCCAAAAAAAAGCATAGAGTTTGATTCCATACTCTCAATTTGTAGAAACTCTACCTAAAATTTTTCTTTTTTTTTTTAGGTTTTTAAAATAACATTTATTTTTTAAAAGTTAACGTGCATATAACAGAAAACTGAAAACACAAGAACAAAGTCATAATCACAAGCAGTTTAGTCTGGCGTGTCTTTCTAGGTCCTGTGTGTATCTACACAACTAAGCTTCCATTTTTATGCAATTTATTTAATTCTGAATAATATGTGCCAGGCATTGGGCTAAGTTCTTTATAGGCATTACCTCATTCAATTTCTTGTTAACAATCTTGAGGTAGGTTCTATTATTAGTTCCATTCTGCAGATAAAGGAAACTGGGTCTGAGAAATCAAGATGCTTTTCCAACGCATCATGAAGTAGCAGAACTGGGTTTGAATCTGGGTCAGTCTCACCTTGGAGTTCCACTGTGCTTATGATGAAAATATGTGACTGGAGGAGTATACTACATGTAATAGTAGTTACCTACAGTAACAGGATTACAGATGATTTGAATGGTCTTTTAGTTTTCTGGATCATCTACAATAAATACATATTTTGCAATGAGAAAAGTAGTTATTAAAAATGTCTTTCCAAGAGTTTATTCCCTATCAAACCATATGTTTATAAGGTAACATGGGAAAGTGTTAGGGGTGTTAGTATGGGTTAAGAATTAAAACAATTGTTTACTTTCAATTTCTGTTATATGTATGTACCATTTATTTTTTATTTAGTTTAAAATTTTTAATTTATAAAGGAAATTTTATAACATCTATGCATTAAATACTTTAATATAAATTTTCTAATATTATAATAAACATAACTATTAAAAAAGAAAACCACAACCTGTCTGTACTACATAAGATTATACTGTATACCATACAAACCACATTTTAGGAAACATGAATTAAAGTGGTTAAAATGTGAGAAAGATGGGAAGGCAGGATCAACAGATAACTGTAGGATAATTTTAAGTATGTCCATATATGGAGGAAAAGCAGTGAGCCCTTGCTCACAGCTGACAGGGCAAGTTCCCAGTTAACTGGGCTTACTGGAACAAGTAAAAGGTGTTAGCTATGGAGAAGAACAAAAACTTTTCTGATATGGAAGGTAAGGAAGAAAAGATGAGTGAAGACAGAGAAACTGTAAAGTGGAGAATAAATTAGATTAATAGGAGTGACTTCATTAGTCAGCTACTTTAAATGAACTGAGAAAAACATAGCCTTTTATGTATAGCATGTAAAGCCATTCATATTAAAATCCACTTAGGGAGAACTTTGAAAAATAAATCAGAAATAAGTTACTGAACACTGGGCATGACTAGTCAATTGTCTCATGGCTCACTTGCTTGGCAAATTTCCCTGGTCATCTGTAGCCCTCTGTTAACTATTAGGACCAGTTTTAGGAAGTTTAATAGAACAAGTGGCAATATCCTAGAATAACTTATGATTTCTAGATTTTTCTTGAAGGTGGTTCCTTGGGTAGCAAGAATTGCTTCCCAGTATATCTCCATAATATCCACAAAATATTTTGTTTACAAAAAATATGGATGTAGTTACATTTAAACAAATGGCTTGATGAAGATCTGGCTTTACTTAAAAGATTATTTACTTTATGAAATAATCTGCCACAAGACTTTAAGTAGTAAGCTTCTCTGGTAAAGGCATTTCTTCATCTGCAGTTAAATATTTATTTGCCTGAAGCTAAATGCACAAGTCTTGCTCTGAGCCTCTGCACATTCTCCTCCCATCTCATTAAGTCTTACTCATTTTTTTGGTCTACTCTAGGCTTCCAAGTTACCAGGCAAGGTCTCCTATTCTTCTCTTTATAGCACTTACCACAACAGTAATTAATTTTTAAAGTAATTCTTTTAATGTCTCTCTCCCCTGATAGACTGAAAACTTCATAAAGAGCAGAAGCTGCATGTACTGTGTTCACTGCAATACAGCACCAGCAAGCGTATTTTGGTGTATAGGAAGAGTCCAATGAATATCTGTGACATCTGCTTAAGATCTCTGTTGTTAAAAGAATACTGTCTTGGTAAGTAAGACACAAGAAACCTTTGCACATACATCTGCGGCTGAACTCCAGGAAGCACTAGAGCTCTCTACTCACAGATTAGACGACCGTTCCTCACAGATTCCAATAACTGGCTTCTAAGGAAACAGAGACAGGAAGAATTTCAAACTATCCAGCAAAAACCTTTAAATTACCACATCTCTGCATTCCCATCACCTACATCCTCTTTTCCAATGTGCAGAGGTAAACGTGCAGGAAAAAAGTTAGCAAGTGAAATATAAACCCTTTATCACCCTCTAAAACAAGAGCTGCTGTATCTGCCAGCATACAAAATGGAGATTTGGAATGCTGCTTGCCATTAGGCAATCCAAAACATTTTTATCAATTCAGCATTACAGGGAACAAGACCTTGAAAATATGTAAGAGTGACCAAAATGTACTGTTTTAAGGATAGTTACACACACAAGGAAAATATTAAGGGGGAATAACTGATACAGCAATTTTAAGACCAAGCACTTTTTCGTCTTACAGCAGTGCAGGGAGAGGAAAGAAAATGTCACAGAAACGCAAGACAGAGGGAAATGCATGCTCATATTCACTAATAAATACTGCATGCTGACAAAAGTACAGTACTAAAATCAAGAGAAGAGCAATCTGATAGTAGGGGGGGAAACCAGCAGCACAGAAAAGCAGAACTAAAAGGTTTCCCACCTTTTAGAGACCAGCAGGGAGAAGATTCAAGCCTTGAAGGTAGTACAAACAGGAAGCAGTCCTAATGGACTGGAGCTGATCATTACTTTTAACTAATTCCTCTCTCTTTGACTGCATCAAACTTCCTAATATTCTTCATCAGTCCTCTCTGCATTTGTGTGGATTATTTTTTTACATTAGTACTACCATACGTATTTCACATCATCTAGGAGAGACTTAAACCTATTAATCTGCTGCTGCACTGCTAAATGTTGGCTAAGTGAGGGTAGCAGAACAGGTTTAATGGCCCCAAATTATCTCTTCCTCCTTTTCAAATGAGGGAATTAGGTGTGCTGAAAGGTACAAAGTTCTCTCTAGAGCCCAGTCCTTCTGTAAGCCATAGGCCTGATACTAGACGTTATCTTCCCTTCTGTTGTGACCTCTCCAGCTCATTTGTTCTGGTTTTGACTTTGCTTTACATACTGGGAGAATTCATGATAAGAATTCACGGGAAAGAATTGTTCCACTCTTTTACGGAGTCAATACTTACTGCAAGGTATATTTCAAATCACGTAGATTTTGTATGTTTTAAAATTGGGTCTTCTAATGGGCAAACGGTTAAGTTTTTAACTCTGTCCCCTTCCCCCATTTTACAGACTCTAAAACTGCCATTTAGGGGTCAATCGGATACACCTCCTTAGTCAACTGAGCCTCTGAGAACACCACGGATTTAGAAAATAATTATATACTTCCATGCTGGTGGTCTACTTTTAAGATGATTCAATTGGGCATAGACCAAAACTGGGGGAGGGTGTGTGTGGACTGGCACACGTGTTAAGGTTTTAAGAGAGGTAGGATTGACAGGTGAAGCAAAAGGCGTGTGGACACTGACGGGAAAGCTTTTGTCTTACTGAAACCGAAAGACTCAATAGCGCATTTCCTAACGGGAAGGGCTCCTTGCTAGGGTGAGGCCTCCACGTCCGTCATCCTCATGAACCAAGTCTGATCCTGGCTTTGGGTAAATCTCCAGTTCCTGCTCTCAGTAGACGGGTAGGCTTCCTACCGGCAAGTAGGTTACGGGTCCCCTCGTCCCCGCTTCAAGATAATAACGGGCCACCCAGAAGGCAGGCCTGGGAGTTGCGGGGACGACGACAGGGACGTAGGAAAAAGGGGCAGAACCCGCGCCGTCCTTTGGCTCCCAGGCCTGTCAGCAATTCACCCACCCATCCATCGCCATTCTTCGGTCTAAACTTACCAGGTGGGAGCTACGGCCCTGGGGAGGGAGTAAGTATGTGGGTTGAGTCAGGTTGAATTTCGCTGCGCTTCTTAGAGACGCCGCCGGGGAGAGGCTGAAACCCAGGAGCCGCCGCCGTCGCCGCCGCCTCTGTTACTGGGGGGTCTCGCCTCCATCGCTGGCTGCGAGGACTCTGGGGGCACGTGACCGGAAGCACTAAGGCGGTCCTGCGGGGCACGTGACCAGAGAACGCGGCCGCCATGACACCTTCCGCTAGTCTCCTCCCTCCCCCGCAGGTTCCCGTCTGTTTCATTTCCTCTCGCCGGCTTCAAGCAGTGAAGGATTCCGGGATCCTGGCTGGCTCACCCCTTTGGCCTAGAGCTCCTCCAGTCCGGGTCGGCGCTGTATCTTCGGCCAGCAGCGGCTCGCCAACTGCAGGCCGCAGAGAGCGTAATTGCAACCACGGCCTGAGGGGGTGGGACTACGCGCAAGCAGGGGCGTATCCCATCACGTGACGAGGAAGTCCCGTTAACCGCGTTGTCTCCGCGTCCCCGGCGCTCCGGGATGACGTAAACCAGGGAGAGGAGGAGCGAGAGGGGACACAAGCTCCTGTGCAGCTGTAAGTACTCGGTGAGTGTCCCGGGGCCCAGCCGGGAGGGACTGACTTACCAAAAATTGGGGACTACCGGCCGGGTGATGGTGGGACGGGGCTGAGACCTACGGGCTGCTGGTCTGTGAACCTGGCTTTGATTATTTGGTTACCGAGGCTCCTCTCCTCAAGAGATCCGAATACTATATTAAAGCTTAGATGTTAAAAAGTTAGTAGTTCCCCTAGGCAAGGAGATTCTTGTAGGCGTTGAGTGCCTCCTGCGGTGCATACAAGGCATATTGAATGCATGAACGCCATTTCTCTGTCGGAGGTGGAGAGTTCTCTGATTATTACTTCTTGCGTGGAAAGATCCAATTATGGAAATGGGGGGGAACCTCCTACTTCCTCTTCGCTTAATAACTTTAACTTTGCTTCCTTTCTTCTCTCTCGGCTCTTCTTCCTTCCATGCATCTAGTGGGGAAAGAATTGCAGTGATTTTCATTTGGTGTTAGCAGCGAACACTGGTCCATTAGTAAAATGAGTAGTTTTGAGAAAAAATTTTTTTGATCCTACTAGTCGGTTATGCTATAATCAGTTATTGTGGGGAAATGGAAAGATGATTAGATTTGGACTCAGGAAAAGTGGATGCTAGTCTCAGCTTTACCATTTAAGACCTCTGTGACCTTGGGCAAGCCAACCTCTCAACAATTTGTTTCATTGACTTTGTAAGTATTTATGGCCAACTTCTGTTTGCTTAGTTTTTTGCTAGGCTGGAGGTGTGACAGACTTCACAGAATATTTAAACTTAGTTTGCGGGAAGATAAGGTTTTGTTAGATGGAGGAAGATTCAAGAAACACCATATAATAAATTATAGAGGCATAGAAAGTTTATAGAGTGAAAGAGGAACGAGATGGCTCAATATGGTTGGAGAAGAGGAGAGAGGAAAAGGTGGGAGATAAAGCTGGAGAAATAGGAATGAGTTTACAGATTATGTAAGAAGGGTAGCTGTTGAAGGTTTGTACGGAGCTTTTTTAAATGTACATACCGAAAAAAATCTTGTTATGGAAAATTTCAGAGGGAAGTAGACATAATATAATGAATCCTCAGCATACAAAACCCAGCTTTAACAATTACCAACAAAGCCTTTACATTTCTAGGTACTTTTTATAGCTATTGTCACATTTGATTAAATAGTAGCTTCCATTTTGAGCTCAGTTCTGCTGTATCTAGGTACTGGCTAGGAAGATTATATTCATTCATTTTATGTGAAAATTTCTTTGGGTTTAGTTGACCACTTGCTCTGTTGAATCAAAAGTGTGATGTGGCTACTTTAAAAAC